GAAAAGTAGTTAGGTAGGTAAATACAAAGTAGGTTAGTAGAGGGAGTCTAGGCGAGTAAATCCTATTTATACTTATTGGCCAAACACTTACTCAATGAAAGAGTTCCGAGGGAGAGTGGAACGCTCTCCTGAAAGTTCATTTTATTTTATTTTTTATTATTTGATTCCACAGATTTACATGAACGTACATTGAATGTAGTATTGGCACAAATTTCGTACTTCCCTCAAGTTTCAATTGGTACCAGAACGGTTTTTCGTTTCAATTACGAAGATCTTACGGCCTGTGACTTGGCTACCATGAATTACGATGGTGGATCCATGTTGACGGGTCGAACTATCCATATTGAAAATCGATGATGACCATTTTTTTGCATTCATTGAGAAAAGGCGTAAGTATTGAGAACATGTGAAATATTAAAAATAAAAATGTATTGAAGAATGGTTAGAGTAGTCTTGGGAGTGACAATTCCCCTCAATTTTTGGAATGTTTAGTCAATAGTATAAGGATTTACATATTTGTCACATTTCCACTTTAATGTTTCCCCATGTCGCAAATAGAAACATATTTTAGCAAGACAAGTCATAAAAAATTATTATATAATGGAGCAAAATTAAAAATAAAATAAAATATAAGAAATCTACTAAATGACCGAATGAAAAATCATTGATTTAGTTCTTGTTTGGTTCTATATATTGAGGCAAATATATATTTTTTTAAATAGAAATAAAATTGTAACACCCCGCCTACTGTCACTAAAATTAGAGTAAATTTTCGCGCTATAATTGAAAAATACTGATTTAATTTTTGAAACTCTTTAACTATTTCGAAAATATTTTAGCTTTAATTTGCAGGATGCTACCTTAATCTTTATCTCTTTAAAGACACTAGGCATATATGCAAGTACCAGCTAGTTTGGCAGAAACGATACGATGATAATCATTATACTGACGCATCGCTAACTAAAACATACATCTAATATGATAAACACATCACAACCTAAGTATACATCTAATATGATAAAAAAATATCACAACCTAAGCATACATCTAATATGATAAACACGTCATAAAGGCGTATAAGTAAGTAAACTGTTTATAACTGCTGCTCAACTTATTGTCTATAACTGTTGCTCAACTGACTGTCTATAACTGTTGTTCAACTTACTGTCTATAACTGCTGCTCAACTGAATGTCTATAACTGCTGTTCAATTGGCTGTCTATAAATGTTGCTCAACTGACTATCTATCACTAATGTTCAACTGGCTGTCTATAACTGCTGCTTAACTGACGAGAAAGACACTTGACCCTTCACGTTTGCGATAACCAGTTGAAGGACCTAATATGTAGGTCATTGCTCATACTAGGGAAAAACTAACTTTATGATCTTCTAAAGTTAGAGCTTAACTCAAAGTTGTGCTAGAGTCCTTGATTCTAACTGGAGTTCGAAACACTTTGCTATAAAGGAACCGATCTCTAGGTCGATGCCTCTTCGGAGGAAATATTCTAACAACATCTAGAATTACAACTTAACTCAAAGTTGTACTAGGGTTATTAATTCACTTAACTCAACCTTCACTATAGTTCTTATCTCATCTTAACTAGCGTTCGGGTCACTTAGCTAAAAAAGACCTACTCGCTAGGTTATTGCCCCAATCAGGCAAACTAACGCTTACATACATACCTCATCCAGGATAATGCGATTATAGAAAATGTAGTACCCAGTACATGTCCCCACCTGATATGCTGAAATACAAGTGCTTAATGGATTGAAACTGTCGGAGGCTCGACACCTCACAAGCTACAAAATATTTGAGCAAAAAATATATTTTAAGTACTTAGCTCAAACTAAAAATCTCAAATTTTAATCTCTAATCTTACTAGGTTCGCTCATTGGATTTTAAAAATCATTTCAACTCACTTTAGAATTCATGAACTGATCTGAAAAATTATTGTCTTGAAGCTTTCTAGAGTTCTATGAAATATTTCTAAGACTGGAACTATATTTCGACTGGATCTGAATCTGACTTGGTTAAAAAAAGTTTGAAATCTCGATTCACGCTCAAACCGATGTTCCGCACTGAAACTCCTAAATCGTCCGGACTGCCCTGACTGATTTGTCTGAATTGAAAAATTTCACGAACCATATGGACTAGTTCAACTGGACTAGGTCAGCGGCTCGATCAGAATCGACCAATCACTCGCTTGACTATGTGCAACTCGATTCAACCGTGGTTCGGGTTCGATGTAGCAACTCACG